GCAGTGTTTAAACTATTTTTGCATAGACAAAAGTACAAAGCAGTGAAAGTCATAAATAGGCAATTGTTCGATTTGCTGAATTGAACAAAACGCATGATCGCACCGGCTAGTCTTGTGAGCGTTGCTATTTATTTTTCATTATGCGCGATTTGTTAGTACTTTTTTTGTTGGCGCACGTAAATCGATTCTCGCCGCTACATTTTTAAGTTCCTTTTTTGTCTCATTTGCACGAATCGCTTTTTTATTGTCTGCTCAGAAATGCTTGTTTTTTGAAGTGCTAAAGAACAACTGTTTCAAGCACAAGACAGTATGTCTTTTAGGCATGGCCAACAATATTGGACATCGATGATGTCTCTTCCCTTGGCAGGAAAAAATGGGAGCCAGAACAGATTGACTGGAGACCTTCCAGTGTTTGCTACTTGGTAAGTTATGATGTGCCCAATGAAGTAAGCGGTATACGGAATTCGGCCTGACAGCGACTTTTGCAGGATTGCGGGGATCTCGCAAACTCAGATCTTCAGTGAATTTTGATACTTGTCGAAATTGTGAGGAAGTGTTCCACCGATTAATGAAGAAAAATTGCAGGATTTCTCGGTGAGCACAACGGGACAGTTAGCGGGTATTGTTATCAGTATTGCGGAAGCGGCGGCATTGTGTAGGAGTTTGAAGATAGCATGTGAGCTTTATCCCTCTCGCCATATCACATTATGCCTTGATCCGTATTGCGGCTTGGGACTGACACTTTGGTGCATTTCTGGGTAAGTCCATTCATCTCATTTCTTGCCGTCATAACTTTCAGTGTTTGCTCCCTCTGTCACATTTATTTTTTGTTGTTAGCAATGAATCCCTCTCCCTTGTTCACTCTGTCTACGAGGCGGGTGTAGCCCAAGTAGTAGCACACTAGCAACAGTAATAATCCACTGACTAAGCTTTTGATTGTCTCTTTCAAGGGTTATTTTACAGCCAACTGATAATGCTTCTGACTCCTTAGTGTGTGCCAATATCGATTTACCACCGATCTGTACTAAAAATTTTAGTTTTACTGGAGTGGCCGAAGAGAGCCATCGATTTAAACATCAAATTAGCGTCGCTGGGCACTACACCAATCCCTCCATCTTTATTTTCACATGCATTGAACTACAGCTCTTTTGTTCTTAATATATCCCTTATCCCCAAATTGTCTGCCTTCATCGCACTGTGGTAGTGCAATGGAGCGTCGAAGCATGGCAAATAGTTCCAGGCTTCTAGATTAGACATTGTTTTGCATTTTTGTCTGGTTGCGCTTTGATGACGGGGACTTCTACTAATCTACTAACCTACTGATAGTTGTTTACGCAGGAAAGATCACGCAGCTAATGCTAATTGCAATCGTTTCAGCGTTTATTCTGGTCATCATTCACTGCTAATTCCGCCATCAGAAGTCGAACAGAACTCCGCACTCTGGCTAACCGCTGTATCCCAACGCAAAGGTACATTTCCGCTATGTTTAAATAGTGTTGCTGTGCGGTATTGCTGAAATACGACACTTTCAGGATAAGGAAATATTACAGATTTTATGCTGACTATTAATTTTGTACATAATTTTAATCTTTTAGTTCGCGACACATTTTGCTCATACGGTGTAATGGAATTGTGTGTGCGCGAGCTGGCGCCACAGATTTCCCTATTGAAAGAAAAGGGCGTTTCACTTTCTTGGTAAGTTCTTCATATTCCTGTTGTATGTACGAATTCGATGAAATGTTTTAAAATAAGTAACGGCGCACATCAGGGTATCTGTTGAGATCATGCGTTTTGTGCAGTTTTGCCTAATGGACGTTTGTTGTTAAAAATATTCACTGCTTTACTGCTTGATATGTGCGGAAACTGTTTGAGGATGTCTTGATCAGCCGAAACTTTTTTCGCATATCCGCACGTGAGACTGAGGCATACGTGGAAGCTAAATCTAAAACTGTCCGAGTTGCATAGGGCGGGAAACATTCCCCTGAAGTTTCAGCCTTCTGTTTTATCTGGGGCTGAAAAATTTCCCGCCAAAACATCCAGATACTTGTACATAAGACTTAGATGCACGTAAAGGCTAAAACTGAGATTTTCAATTACGCATACGAACACATAACATCCTCCTAAACTGTCAACTTCCCAAATTTTCTGGTTCACGAGTTAGCAGATTTTCTCGCCAAAGCTTTCACATCATCATGGGTGAGATTTAGACGCACGTTTAGACGTCTTTGCCAATTTTTTCTATTCTTATGGGGATGGGTACTACCCGTATATAATTCGGCGAAGATTTTCCGCTGCTTTAATACTGTGTATAAACGCCTCCTCTCCTGAATCTTCTATGCATTGAAGGCTTTCCTTCTGATGTATCCCTCTGGTGTTTTGGCCTCGCGACATCTTTTGCTTGGGATTGAACTGTTTAGGCATATTATCAGATTCGTGCTGCATCGCTGCTTCTACACATGACTGAGGCCATGAAAATGTTCAGTACTTGCAGCTAGAGATGCTGTAATGTGTGCGTGTAAAAATCATGTTGCAGTGTTCGAACGTGCGTTGTGGTTGCGGAGGAACGACCACGAGTGGTTCTTTGCACAGCATTCTCGAAGCTCTTTGCACCGCTGGGTCTCAATTCGCGTGCAGTGTCCACCTCATTTGGATGTCGAGTAATTATTTTGTGATTTTCCGTGCCAAGTCTTTTTATGGGCAGAATTCGCAACCTCTATATCCAGATACATATCTGGCATTGAGCTTTCAGTGAGATCTTGCTACTAATGTCTTTAGCACTGTAAAATATTTCATTTGTTTGGCTGTCTGTTCTCAGTTTCGATGCTGAGATCATAAAGACGCACTGAAAATGCTGCTTCTTCAGGTGAATACAGCGATTTGTATGCAGGGTGCCGCAAGCCCGGATCCGACAACAGTTTTTGTGGATGCACGAGCGTTACGTAACGATCGCGTAACACTTGTTGAAAAGGGCGCGCCGCACAGCATCGCTTTAATGGAAAGTGGAAAGGTAAATTTTCCGTATGCTGAATGGATTTTTTTTTGCACTGTAGATGGCCTGAAAGCTTACTTTTGAGTACTCTCAGAGTGTATTTTTTGTTCAGGTTCATTGAGCTTATGACATTTCAAATTTGTTATTTTTGTAGATATGAAGCTTTTTTTGCGGCGAAGTTCTAATACTGTTTTGTTGCAGCTGCTTCCGGGTGTTGAGGTAGTCATTGCGAATCCCGAAACACGGGGGCAGTGCGCCGATTCACATCTCGGTGAAATATGGGTCGCTAGTGCACATAATGCCGACGGTTATTTTTCTGTTTACGGTGAAGAAACTTCGCTACATACGGATCATTTTAATGCGAGGTATGTTTGGTGACGATTGATTTTGCAGTTAGTTTTTTTATCACTTGTACCTTTTTATGCGTTTTTTGCAGCAATGCAATGCGAAAAACGCATATTGACGAGAGGTTGTCTGTGTGTTCGTGTGTCTGTGTGCCTGTGTGTGCGTCTGTCACGCACTTTCATCTCCGGACCTATAAAAGCTGCGATGTGTCTGTGTGTGCGTCTGTCACGCACTTTCATCTCCGGACCTATAAAAGCTGCGGGGTTGAAAGTCTGTGTGTCTGTGTGCCTGTGCGTCTGTGTGTCTGTGTGTGCGTCTGTCACGCACTTTCATCTCAGGACCTATAAACTGTGTCTGTGTGTGCGTCTGTCACGCACTTTCATCTCCGGACCTATAAAAGCTGCGGGGTTGAAAT